TCACTTCTTTGTTCTTCTTCCCGGAACGAATGGTGTAGTTTACATCCGAATTTTTCTGAGTAATTTCATAAGGTCCAAGCCATGGCTGCGTCAATTTTTTGGACCTTCCACGTCGCACAACCTAATTTTTTAGCAAAACTCTGTCGCCGACGCAGAAATCGTTTTCCTGCGCATCTTTATCGTACTGTTTTTTCGCTATTTCTTTCGACGCATTCAATTTTTCCCTCGCAACCTGGTGAGATGCGCGAAGTCTTTCACGTAACTCTTGTGCGTAGTCATCATACGAGTAAGTAGGTCGCGGCGGCTGCTTCACTGAGGTTGGTAAATCAGCACACCTCCCATACAGTAGCTCAAACGGTGTCCGTTTCGTGGCAGTATGCAGAGTTGTATTGTACGAAAACGCCGCATAGGGTAGCCATTGATCCCAATCACCTTGGTCTTCATCTATGAAATTGCATAGATACTCTGCTAGGGTGCGATGAGACCTCTCAAGAGCACCATTCGTTTGAGGATGATAAGCCGTTGTCTGAATCTTCTTTATCTTGAGAAGACAACAGACATCTTTAGAAATTTCGCTTGTGAAATTCCTGCCCTGATCCGTCAGCAATTTCGAAGGCGTTCCGTGCTCGCAAATAATTTTCTCAACGAATGCTTTTGCCACAGTATTCGCCTCTTGATCGGGAATTGCAATCGCCTTACTGAACTTTGTCAACGCATCCTGGAACGTCAAGATGTATTTATTCCCATCCTCCGTGACTGGTAATGGACCAACTATGTCTATTGCACATTGCTCGAACGCCGTCTCCGGAGCTTCTCCAATCTGCATAGGGACCTTAGTTGCTTTTCCTAACTTATTCAGCTGGCAGTTCTTGCAGCCTGCGACATATTTCTCAATGTCATTTTTCATACCCTTCCATTTATATTTTAGCTTTACTTTCTCGTGCATTCGTTGCACGCCCGGATGTCCTCCAAAAGGGGTATCATGGTATTCCCTCATTATTGTTGGGATGTCCTCAGGATCTGGAGTGACTCTCACTTGACTCTCATCAGGTGTCTCGCACCCTTCTTCAGGTGTCTCGGACCCCTCTTCAGGTGCCTCGGACTCCTCAACCTCAACAGCATCACCCTCAGCTCCCAACCTAGCCTGCTGATCCCGGGTAATGACGTAAATTCGACTCAAGGCATCAGCATTTGTATTCAACCTCCCAGGTTTGTGTACGACTTCATAATCGAACTCCTCTAATTTAATTCTCCAGTGCATCAGTCGTGACCCGGGATCCCTGACGTTGAAAATCCACCGCAGAGGTCGATGATCCGTCACGATGATAAATCTTCGGCCATACAAATAGGGTCTGAAATGTTTCACAGCCCAAACGATAGCAAGAAGTTCCTTCTCAGTCGTGGAATAATTAATTTCGGCTTTATTCAATGTCCTACTTGCGTAAGCGATTGGCAAATCACTTACAATTTCTCCCTGTGACAAAACAGCGCCCAATGCTGTTTGATGCATCGGTTGTCAACAAAAATGGTTTCTTGAAATCTGGATACTGCAATATTGGAGCCGAAATGAGCTCTTCTCTCAAGCTCTCGAATGCGACGCCTTCTCTCTCTCCCCATATCCAAGCTACTCCTTTCTTTAATAAATCTTTGAGAGGTTTGGCAATTTTTGAAAAATCTTGAATAAATTTCCTGTAGTAACCCGCCAGCCCCAGGAAGGACATCACTTCCTTCGTTGTCCGAGGTACCGGAAAGTTTTTTACTGCTTCTATTTTTGTAGGATCAGCCTTGATCCCTGCCTCCGTAATCACATGACCCAGGTAAACGACCTCCTTCCTCAAAAAGTTACATTTGTTGGGCTGTAACCTCAAGTTAGCCTTCCTCAATCGCTCCAACACTTCTCGTAGACGGTCATTGTGCTCCTTCAGGCTTGCTCCAAAAACTACGATATCATCGAGATATACAAAGCATCTGATTCCTTGAATTCCAGCCAAGACTGAGTTCATCAGCCTCTGGAATGTCGCCGGTCCTCCCTTTACTCCAAAGGGTAAACGGTTAAATTCGTAGTGCCCAAACGGTGTTGAAAAAGCCGTTTTGCACTTGTCCTCCTCCTTCACTGGAATCTGGTGAAATCCCGACGCCAAGTCCAGTGTGGTGAAATATTTTGCGTTTCCCAACTGATCCAGAATATCACAGATATTCGGCAGTGGGTATGAGTCACCGATGGTGATGTCATTTAACTTGCGAAAGTCCACGACAACTCGCAACTTGATTTTCCCTGAGGCATCGGGTTTTTTAGGAACAACGAGTAATGGTGCGTTCCATTGACTGTTACTCGGTCGAATCACCCCGTTTTTCAGCATTTCCTTGACTTATCAATCGACTTCCTCCTTCTGCGAATGCGGCAATCCATGTGGTCGAACAGTGACAGGTGCCGCACCTGGAGCAATAGGGATTGAATGCTCCAGATGGTCTGTAACGCCCGGAGGATCCCCTGGAAGTTGCACAATGTTGTTGTACTCCTCCAGCATCTCCAGCAGACTCTCCCGTTCAATTCGATTGAGATGAGAAATCCTCAGATTTTCGTGAAGAAGTTTTATTCGATCTGTTTTCTTCCTTCTGCTTTGCTTAATTTCTGCATGCATCAGCATTATCGTTTCGGCGGTGGGCAATTCCTCGAGTTTCACAATCGGAACGTTCAAGAATACGTCATCCTCAGTGGTATTCATCACACAAACGATTGCTCGACCACCCCGTGGCTTCGTGAGGCATTCACCCAGAAACACGCCCGGTTGTAATTTCTGCTTACGCACAATTCCACTTTTTGTGCTCAACGATGTTGCCCAGGCCAATGTCTCTGTTCTGGCCTTTACCAAAATTGGTTTCTCAGGTGGGGAAAGTTGCAAACGTGTGCCATTGATCATAACACACTTCCCTGGTTCAACAAATATAGTTAAATCTCGAGACTGGAAAAAGTCTTCTCCTAGTATCCCTCCAACACACGGAAAGCTGTCAGGAACAACGTGAAATACATGCCCCAACTCCTTGCCAATTTTCAGATAAATTTCAGCTCTTCCGAGTGTCCCAACATCCTGATTAGAAATTCCACGTAGCGTCCTTCCCCCGGGTTGAACCTTCGCACCTTCCTTCAATTCCCCAGCTTTTATTACTGATATAGCAGCGCCAGAGTCCGCTAAAAACATCGTCGGCTGCTTGAGCTCATCGGCTGACAAAATTAAATGGTTCTTTGTCTTGGAAGGCTCTTCAGATGTGATCTTACGCCTTCTGGAACTGGGACTAAGTGAAACCTCATCATCTTGTCGATCCTCATCGTTCTCAACCTCGTTAATTTGCATCACTTGGAATGCCCCCATTGGCAGCGTAGGCTCCTCGTTCGATACCACTTTATTTTTGTTATTCTTCTTTGTGCCACTGTCAGCATTTTTATTGCCCTGCTTTGTGACATCATGTTTCTCTTTCACCTGTAGCTCCGCATTCTCTGGTAACCCGCACTGCTTCTTCAGTTTAAAACATGCTGTTATGTCATGCCCTGGAACGTGACAAAATTTGCACACGACTCCATATGCATTGATACTGCGTTGTTCTGGAACAGGTAGACTTGTCCTTTTCTGCACCTTGCAATCTTTTGCCTGATGCCCTGCCTGGCCGCAAGCAAAACATCCCGCCCCCAGGGATTTCCGCCCCACCGAATGACGATTCCCCCCCTGAGAACACCTGGAACCACCTACTCCAGAGTTCCCTCCAAAATTTCCTCCAGAACCCCCCTTAGAAGCTCCATGGAAACCTGGCATCGTTTTTTCCAGCTCAACCGCCCCCAGACAGGCCTCATGCAATGTTTTGTAATTATTAGCTCTGACCAAAATTTGTATCTGGCCACGTAGCCCTTGCTCGAAATTCGCTTTAGCCAATGTCAAAAGCGCTTTCCTCGCCCCACCTTTCTCCTTTTCATCCAAATCGTTAGCCAAGAGATTTTGTATGCCCTCGATTAAATCGAGCGTTACTCGCTCAGCTCTGGCTGCAAATTTGCTGACGTCTTCATCACTCTGTTGCTGCATGTTATTGAACTCCGCATGCAATCCCACAAGTGACTTTATTTTGCCAAACAACGCCTCCAACTTGATTTTTAACTCATCGAAGCTTTCTATTTTCTTATGCTTCAGTTGCACAAATGCCTTGCCTGTCAACTTATTCTTCAAAACAGTTTTCAGTAACATAGGATGTAACTCAGGTTGCAATAAGTCCTTTGCACCCTCACAAGACCCCAAAAAAGGTATCAACTCATCAGCCTTTTCGCCATTGAATGAATGAACAAGCTGTAGAGCCCCCTTCAGGTCTATCAATCCCCTTTGCAGGTGACCATTACTAGAGCCAGTACCAGGAAGATTATTTACCCCAGCTGCGTCACGACCACGATACATCTCTGCCCAAGCCTTCTGTAGCTCGTCCTCCAATCGTCGCCGCTCCTGAGCTTCCTCCTTAATCCTTTCCTGGGCCCCCTCTATTATTTTCAGCATCTCAGCCACAAGTTGATCTGTCCCACTACCCCTCAGGATCTCCTGGGTGTCCATTTTACGAAGACCTGAGATATCCAATTCCGGTAAATCCGGCTGCCTATGCAGTGGTGGGGTGAAATCACCCAACAGAAGTGATCCCCCCGGCACCGAGAACGGAGTAGACATAGGTGTGCTGAATTCCTCCCTTTGCTCCCTATCATCAGCTGCGGGCAAGCCCTGCTGCTGCGGTGGTGGCGGTGCCGGCCTCACAGGTGTGCCGTTCCCACCCCGCGGCTCTTGCCGCCCATCTTGCCCCTGCTGCCATTGCGGCTGCTGCCCTTGCGGCTGCAGCGGGTCATCCGCCACGAAGTTCTCCACACTACGCGAACGCCGCCGGACCCCCTCGGCCAAGGAACTGGAAGCACGGTTCCCCCTAGCAAAATTCAAGGCTCTGCGCATCGTGATACCACGACGAAACCCTTCTGATTTTGTTACCTCCGCAGAAGACCCTTCAATTGAGTGTAAATTCACCCCTACTGAACGTAAATTCTGCCTGACACCTCGAGTTAATTCCTCCAGAGAATCAAAGTCGTCCGGAACACTCTGACTGAGACCCCATAAATGAAAAATCGCCTGTTCCGTGTCAGCTTCGTTCCGCTTCAAAATAGTCCGCAAAACAGTTGGATTTCGCCCCTTCTCCTACGGAACAGTCGGTTGCTACTATTCCGGCGTCCCAGAACAGCTTGATGCTTCTCCAAAATGAATACACGTTTCCTCCGACGTATCGAAAATGTCGAATTCTTCTCTTAACCACTGTCTTCGACGAAAGTTGATCAGGCTCCCGTTTCTGAAGAACACACGCGCTGCCACTAAATTGTTGTGTGAGGTAGAATGGACGAGTACAATGGACTCAAACTTCAGTGTTAAGATACTTGAATTTACTTTATTTCTCACTCAAAGTGTAACGGTAAAAATACAAAAGAATTAAGATTAATTCCCAAATGAACTACATTGGTAATGACTCCCGAGTGCAGTGTGTTCTCGGTTTTTATAAGAAAACCGTGACACACATTTGTCTCTTTTTCGTTGTATTCATATTACAAAATGATCCCGTGGTGTAATACGATGCTGAATCGGTAAACAATCGATAAACAGTTAATTTCATAATTATTAAACACGAATCACTTCGTAATTTGGTCATGGAATATTCTGGATTACAACAAAGGAGTCAAGAAAATTTTGATTGAGTAATAGAAAGAGATTTCTGTTCAATTTACACTGAGAGAGAAAAAAACACGATCTCAAACGTCTGTTGTTTGAACGAAATAAAAGAAAAAAATTATTCTATTTAAACATGAATAATTAGTCTCCTTACAAGAACGAAATATTGAGATGGTGCCTTTTCATGATTAAAATATCTCTCACGAAGTTAAGTTAATCAAGAAATATTTTGTTCTTAAATTAGAGAATTGCTATTATATCTGCATTATTATTCCGCTTAAGAATTAATTTCTTATTTTTGAGGATTGAATAGCAAAAAGGAGAAATTACTCTTTCTTGTTTTCCATAAAATGACTTTTCGGGGAACAGAATCCGAATATTAGTATAGAATAACGAATATTTAGTGTTAGAAATAAGATTTGCTTGCACAAATAAAAATATTTATTTTTGAACAATTAAATCTATTTTTGCAACTGAAATTTTGCTCAAGGCATTTTTCAGATGTTCAGCACTAGATTTCCTTTTTCTGGTCATTTTCAACTTGCGATTGTATCAGCGAGTGAAGGTGACACGTCTAAACTCCGCGGCGTCATTTCAACACAACACGTCAATTCAACATTTTCATTTTCTACCAAAACTATTTCATCATTCGGTTTTTCCATCATATTCAATTTCAACATTAATTTCACATCAGAGTTTTCACCGTACTGATTATTCTTCGATTGTCAGGTATATGGTTGGGTTGGTTTCGTTTGTTTTCTCATATTGGTGTCTATATATTTATATTTCAAATGTATATGGGTTGGATGCTATGAAGATAGCTGGGAGTTTTATTGTCTTTTCCTTTGGATGCCCAATGGTGATATTTTCGATGTGTTTGTTGACATCCAGAGTACATATAATGGTGTTTTTGTTTGATTTGTGTTGATTATTACGCATGTTTAAATTGTGTTGTGATGAGTTTGATTGTGTTGACTTTGTTGGTGTTGAATTTGTGTGTTAAAATGTCGTGTGTTGAATTGACGTGTTGAGTTTGTTTTGTGAGATATAGACATGGAACCCGAGTGAAGAAAATTTCGGTTTAATTGCGCACGGTTTTCGCATAATTACACTGAGAGAGGAAAAAACATGTTCTCAAACAAGTCTTGTTTGAACGAGATAAAAGATAAAAATCATTTAATTCAAACATGAATAATTACTCTCCTTTCAACAACAAAATATTGAAATTGTGCCTTTTCATGATTAAAATATCTCTCCTGAAGTCGAGTTATATATCTCTCATAAAGTCAAGTTAATCAAGAAATATTTCATTATTTCAGCATTATTAGTCTGCTTAAGAATTAACTTCTTACTTTTGAGGATTGAATAGCGGAAATGAAAAATTATTCTTCCTTGTTTCACATTAAATTACATTTTTCGGGAGCAGAATACGAATAGTAGCATAGAATAACGAATAGGCAATGCTAGAAATGAGATTTGCTTGTACAGATAATAACAATTTTTTGGAGCAACTAAATCTATTTTTGCAACAGAAATTTCTCATCTCAAACAGCATAATTACTGAGGGTTAAATGAAACGTTGATATGTGGATGTACTCACGTGTGAGCAAGTACTGTGAATAAGCGGAGTAGGTTCGAATATACATATTTGATTCTCATACGCAGCGGCAATTTTTCCAGTGTCAGTACTGCAATCCAAACAGCTGATTCTTATGTAGTTGTGAACAGCCCCCGGTATTATCTGGACTCTCTCGAAGTTACTTGCGAGAATGACGATGTTGCAGCCAGCTGCATAGGCCTGCAATAAATGCGAACATACCTTCGTGAAAGACAACCAAGCATTCACTCCTATTAAATCCACTAGTTGTTGAGATATTTCAAAAAAATTGACTTATCTATGGGAGAATGAAATGCCGGGAAAAACGACTATTCAGGAAATTTATTTTTTTATTAATTTTTAGTTGACGGTCAAACGACATTTATGAACGTTTCGAGGTGAGGGTCAAATGGTTTGGAAGGGCAAGTGACCTTGAGGAACGTTTGAAGTTGAAGGTCAAACGAGTTGAGGTTTAAACGACGTTCAAGAACAGTTGGAGTTGAGGTTCAAATAGTTTTCGGGGTCAGAAGACTCTTAAAGATGTTTAAAGATGAGGGTTAAATAGTTTTTAGGGTCAAAAGATCGTTAAAAACGCTTGAGATTGAAGTCAAATGGTATTGAGGGTCAAACGACCTTTAAGATTGTTTGGAGTTGAGGGTGAAAAGACCCCTTGAAGATGTTTAGAATTGAGGGTCAAATGGTTAAAATATCGTTAAAGGCGTCAGGAATTGCGGGTTCAAATGGGTTTTAGGATCAAAAAATCCTTAAAAACGCTTGGGATTGAGGTTCAACTAGGTTTGAGAGTTAAGCAGACCTCAAGACCGTTCAAGTTGAGGGTCAAATGGTTTTAAGAGTTAAGCAGACCTCAAGAACGTTCACGTTTGATGCTCAAATGGTTAGAATATTTTTAAAGCCGTTAGGAATTGAGGGTTAAATGATTTTGAGGGTCAAACGATCCATAGGGACATTTAGAGTTAAGGTCAAATGGGCTTGAGGGTCATGCAGGCCGCAAGAATGTTCAGGATTGAGGGTTAAATAGTCTCAAGACTATTTAACCCTTGAACGGGTCGAAGCAGAATGATTAGAAATGATCATTGAACCCTTAATTTTACTTATTTTCAAGGATTGTTTGTCTCTTAAGACAATTTGACCCTCAACTTCAAACCTCATTAAGAGTCATTCGACTCTTATGACTGCTTCACCCTTAACCCCAAACGGCATGATTACGATCCCTTAGCGCCACGATTTAAAATATGTTTTCCGTACCATTTTTTCGCAAGATTACGGGAAAAATGATGCAAAAATTCTATCTCAATAATTTATCTGGATATTTCAATTTTCAATTTTTTAATTTACACCAAAACAATCACAAAACAGGGTCGCAGAGACAGAAAGTCGCAAGGATCATAAAAGATCACAAGGGTAAAAAAAAAGGAGACAGAAGAGTTGCTGGAGTCACAGGGGGTCACTGAGGTCCATGTGGTCACTTTTTTTCCAAGGCTTTTCTTCCACATTTGTTTATTCCGAATCTTTTTATTTCCGGCAATTTTGTTTTCCGGAGTCATTTCTTCACCGGTTGTTTTTGCCAATAGCTATTTTTTCTGACGTCATTTTTTCATCGATCATTTTTTCTGACAGCCAAACGTTGATATCTTGGAAAATAAAGATTAAAATGCTCATATCCCAAGAACTCATTGAGAGGGATATTTTTAATTATTTTTCCAGTATTCCTGGGAAAAAATGGTATGGAAAATATATGTGAATTCGTGGCGCCAAAGGAATCGTAATCCCCCCCCCCCCCCA